TATACAATGACTTGTCATATACTAAGAGGTAACATTTAAATATGGTACTCATGCATAAGAAAAGCCTTCCAGAGATCTTCAACTCATTTGTTATGCATTAGATAACCTTACATAGATTTTTATATTTCCAAAACAGTTGGCATGTGTAGGTTAAAGCTAGCTGGCTTGGTCACTTCACATTCTGTCAACTGAGTTAATCTGTATTGTACGCAATGTACTTGGTTTTGTCGAAGAGGCAAGTGCATGGGTTGAAAGAACAGCTAATCTTCCTGCCTGGCAGTTTTGTGTGTTTTGAAGTGGTGAAAGTTAAAGTGACCACAAATTTCCTCACTTTTAAGGTAAATTTACTAAACTATAAACTTACCAATGTTTGGTTAAAAAAACCCCGAAAAGATCTAAACATTGAATTTAGAAATTTTCCAACCTGGTGGTGTCTGTGTAGGGAGCTGTAAAGCATCCCTGAAGGTGAATAATATAAAAAAAAATTACCTGATAAATTATCAGTGGGGATCCAGCAACCACTTATGGAAGTATTTGTCAAAAGACTGAGGGTGAATTATTCCAGCATTTAAAAGATATAGTAGGAAGAAGGGACCAGGTATATGGTGCCTGCTAAGCCATAAAGCAAAGAAAAAAAAAGCAGTCATATTTTAAAATATTTTATATATCATATTTTAATATTTTAAAATATGTAGTCATATTTTAATTATAAGAAAGAGATGAATGGAAAAACTTGTCATTTCAAACAGCAACAGAAAGGTTTATACTTTCTACTGTGTTCAACGTGGGGAAAGGAAAGTAGGAAGGATATAGATCCTGCTTTCCTGTCATTTCCTTCTGGGACACATGGAGACTCAATGATGTGCCACGTGACATCTTGGTTTGTGAGTACACGGGTACCCACCATGGACACCAACATCTCAAAGAGTAAAGCAAATTACCAGAAGGGAATCTGTGTGCCTCTGTGCGCATGCCTGTTGAGGGCTGAGTGACTGCTGTTCGTTTACCTAATCGTTCGTTAGTGTGATGACTATGCTTAGAGCACGTAGGTTCACACAAAGAAACCCAAGTTCTCTGTAGTATCTTTTAATCTAGGACTAGGAAAAATGGAAGACAACCACAGGCATCTCTTTCTGTAATACTTAACCTGTAACTCATTTCCAGGAGATATGTAAATGCTGATTCATTTGAGGTCAAGTGATGTTCAGTGTTATTAAACGCTTGACCTCACACTTCTGTACTTTAAAGTTTTTGTAGTATCTGTGTTTATTACTACCAGTTAAACACTTCCTTGTGGTATAAAAATATACAATACTTTGATTCTCCTATAGCATGATCGGTAATATACAATACAATACTTTGATTCTCCTATAGCATGATTGGCAATTTTTCCCCCTATAACTTTTTTTTTTTTTTGTCGGTCATGGAGCTTGAACTCTGGGCCTGGGCACTGTCCCTGCACTCTTCAGTTCAAGGTGAGCGCTCTACCACTTGAGCCACAGCACCACTTCTGGTCTTCTAGTGGTTTATTGGAGATAAGACTCTCACAGAATTTCCTGCCTGGGCTGGCTTTGAACTGTGATCCACAGATCTCAGCCTCCTGAGTAGCTAGGATTACAGATGTGAGCCAATAGCGCCCGGCTTTCCCCCTATAACTTCGAAGCAGTAAGACCCAAACTTAAGATAATGCCTCATGAAATTTATATGGAAAAGTGGGTTCCTTTGTTTAAATCATTCACACATTCATCTGAATTTTGATACATCTTCCTTGAAACTTCTTCAAAGTGGAAAATAACCCACAATTTGATCTGCAAAGGACTCTATCGACCTACACTGGGGCCAATGATTTTGCTGAATCCTGAAAGAAAAATTCCATTGAAGATGTGGCCTTCTACTTCCTTTCTTAGCACTTCTCCCCTCCTCCCCCGGCCCCAGCCTGTAAGAGAACCGTGATGAGTACAGTTTCAAAGGACCAGTTCTGGTTGCCCTGGGTTCCTGAAAATAGGCATTGCCAAGTCCATTGGGCTCTCTCTCTCTCTCTCTCTCTCTCTCTCCTTCTCCCTCTCTCTCTCTCCCCATCCCCTAGAGTTCACCCACTGATGCAAGTTCTAATTAGATCTTGTTTCTTTTGAGTCATCATTTTACCCCCACTGGTGAGAGAATAGTTGTCTTCTTACAGACCCTTCTACAAGCATCTTTAGAGGACGCAAGTCCAATTTCTAATACCACCAAAATAAACACATAAAAATGAAGATCCTGATGGCATTTGTTTTAAAGTCCACATTACCATCTTTAAACCTAACTGACCATATTGAATGGCTATCCTATTGTTTCTCTTAGCTGTGCTTTTTTGAGCAAACAGCATGGCTTGGAAACAAAAAGAAATCCCCGAGAATAAAAGAACATCGCTGGCTATTTGTCTGATTCAGCATACATGGCAGGAAAAAAAAATCACTGTTTACTTAAAAGACTCACATGGCCTAATGAATCAAAACAGCAGAGCTTATGAATGCCATAGCTAATGAATACACACATGTCTTACAGTGTCCAGAGCAATTAACCGAAAGATCTGCTTAAAAAAACCAAACAGAACCAAACAAACCCTGATCTTAAGTCTCTCAGGAACCTAGTAAGACAGAAGGTTTCTAAGATTTTGGATACAGGCACATCCTGGATGTTGATTTGAATTTGCTTTTAAAAACTAAATAATTTATGCAACATATTCCTATCAGTCCATGTCTATATTGGTTTGCATCTTCTTTAAAAAAGAGAAGAATCCTAGTGGAATAAGAATGAGAATTTAAATCTTTAATGAGCCTTCTGCCTACAGGTCTGGGTGGAGGAGTTGGGAGGAGCTAGAGGTAAAAATGCCCATGAGCCTTCAGTGCCCTGCCAGTGTTCTCAAGACAGGACAGAATGACTGTGGTTTTGGCTTGCAGGGGCCAGCTTGCTCAGGAAACTGTGCCATATAGAAAACAAAGTACATAAACAAACTCTGCAGCCAGGAAGTTGAGTTCAACAATTGACTCATTAAGGAGACCCAGGGAAGGACAGGAAAAGAGGGGGAAGCCAATGGCTGATTATTATACAGCACTAGACAGACGAAGCCCTTCAGCGTCTCTCCCAAACAATCACGGTAGTGTGGATTTCACAAAGTGGCACATTTAAGAGGGAACTCTCTTGCCATCAATGGGAGTCAGACACCCTGGTTATCTTAGGGCCAAATTCAGTCCCTGGAGCTTGACTTTACCAGTAGACATAAGACAGAGAACAAGGCAACTACATCCACAGAGAATTAATTGAGAGCAAAAGAGACCTCCAGTGAATGGAATCAATAGTCTGAGCACTGATCTACATTTCAAACCTATTTAAAATAAAATGACTTACACTAAGGCACCTCTTGCAATTGTGTCTTCCTCAGAGACTGATTTGCCATTTGACTTCATCGAAATGATGTAATATCCATACAAAATATGTCTCCAAAGACTAAACATCAGAATGCTAGTTTAATATGCTTCTGAATGGTTGAATTATTTTTGGGTAGGACTCTATTATACGTAATTCAGCAGCTTGACTTTCTCCCTGCACATTCTTCTAGTTTCATAGGGGATGCATAATCACACAAAACAGTCTATAAAATTGCGAGAGTCCATGTCTATCTTTGCCTTTACTGGCTACTTTCCCGCCGTTCCCCCCCACCCTCCTTCTCTACTTTCAAAATAGTTCATTTTATATCATACTCCCTACTAGATAGGACTGTGTTGCTTTGCAAACAGGCAATATTGATCTAACACAACCCTTCTGAGTACCAGTATTTATTGCTTATATACTTAAATAGTTCTCAACCCATCCCCCACCTACCCTCCCAACCGAACTTCAAAGCCCACTACCGTTCCTTTTTTTTTTGGAACCAATGAAAACAATCATGTTTAAATTGCTTTCATTTTTGCTGGGCAGCAGATGAAGTTTCATTACCTTCATTTCTCAATGGCTTACCAGAGACATCATTTTTTCAAGACCACGTTCTTGTTAAGTCCTTTAGCAAAGATCCTGATTCCTCTTGAAATCTGTGCTTTGTGTGCATCTCTCCTAAGCAGCACCGAGACCAGAGTGGGGCTCTGGCCCCATCAATTCAACAGTAGCCTTTATTGCTTAAGGAAAATAGGAAATTCTGCCTCCTGGGCACAGACAGGTGAATTCTCTATGTCGAGGCCCATCAGGATAGAAAGGGCAGATTTAACCAGTATTTCCCTAAGAATGAATGTCTCACTTGTAACCTACAGGTAGCATGGCTTCCTTCAAGAAATCACATTTTAGAAGTCTTATCTTTAAATAGTTTTTGGATGGTAATGGATCTAATTTTACAGATCTTACACCACATTCCCTTTGAAAATGGGTGAGAATGTGATTTGAGTAAGGACTGTGAAACCAGAGCCGCTTTTCCTCCCTGATCATGACTGCTTTTGTAATTTCCAACTGAGCATCAATAGAATCCCAAGACAGTATCAGAAAAAGAAGGATGCCATCATAAACAATAAGATTGAAATGGGAGAAAATAAAAAGCAGTTTCCTGGGAAGAAGCTGAGTCCTTCACACCTGGAAACGAGCAGCCAGGCATAATTTTTTTTAAAAAAAAGTGATAAAATGTTGGATTATTACTGACAAATGTAAGTGTAGATTTGGATGGCCAAAAATAAGTTGATGAACTTATAAGAGGTACAGACTACCCATGACTTAGGCCCATTGGAAGCAGCTAGTGTTCAACCAGTTTGGTTTTTATATGGCCTTTAAAGATTAATGTCAACTCTGATTATTGTCAAGTTAAAAAGTAAAGTTACCTGATTGTTGATCAAAAAATATATATATATATGAAATGGAGAAAAAAAGGCAAACAAACATACCATGTTCACACACAAACCAAAAGAATTCTCTCTCGGGGACATCAGGGAGGGTGGAATACTATAACAACACAGATCACATTGTTATACTACTCCACCCACCTTAATGAGGAGCCCTTGGGCGTTGCTACTCCATAGCCTTTAGAATCCAGATTTCCTCCCACTTTCATGGTGTCACACGGCTTTCGCTGCTCAATGTATTCGTTCATAGTGGACTCCAGCAGAAAGGCAAATTTGCCCTTGGATTTGCGGACACGAGCCACACCCTCAGCTGTAGTCCTAGTGAACACCGATGGCTCTGCTGATCGCATGTACGTCCACATCTTTTCGTACACTGCTATTTTTGATCTCTGGAGGAAATGAAAAGAAAATTAAATATGGGGAAAAGAAGGGAACAACATATTAATATTGATGGAAGCAATATAAGGGGTAAATACAGCCTTTGACTATCTTCCTCTGAATTCTCGTTTTGTTATATTGGGAACTGAAGTCACAGTAGCCTTCGATAATTTGTTTTTCTTAAAAAAGAAGAGTCTTTTAAAACAGGTCATCCAAATGACAGATAAAAGTAAGAGGAAGGCTATGCCTCTGGCCATAAGAATGTTGATATTCAATTGCTTAACTACCAATTTTTAAATTATTTTAAATATAGAAGGTCACCAAGAGACAGGTGAACATTTAAAATCACCTTCTATATCACATTCATGGCAAGTTTAAGAAGGATAAGACTTGATTTGTAACTTTGGTGAAACTCCCCTCATATCCTTTAAATTTTTTATTTTGTTGTGGTTAAGACCATTTTCTACCTTCTGAACAAAATTTTAAGTGAATGTTTAACAAATCAGGAGAGCTATTATTTTGGCTTTTTTCATGTCGCATAGATACACACACAGACACAACACAGCTCCTGCTTCTGAGTAGTTCAACATTAACAGGAGAAATATGATGTAGTTTACAAACCAAATAAACTCACAGAATGTTTTTCAGAGACAATTTCCAAATAGAGCACATATTGAACTTTTAAGGAGAAATGACTGTGTTTTCCTATTTTGTGGGTTAGCTATTCTAATGTTCTGACTCTGGAGAGGAATTTATTTTTATGAATCACTTCTGTCTACCTGAGCTCTACCTACATTATTCCCACTACTTAACTTACCAGGTCTTTTCTTAGCATTCACTTTGGCATTAGATACATAGTTATATATCAAATATATCTAAAGATATTTTTATATCTTGTTAGTGTTCAGTTTGGCACTAGATATATGAAAATATATTTAGTAAAAAAAGAAAAGCCTGAATCCTAGTTTGTGTTTGGTAATGTAATGATGCTCATAGATTTTCATGAGAACATTTATTCAATCACAAGGTACTGAAATTTTGTCTCTGGATCCAAATAATAAGTGAAGGAGAGTTCATTCTGAGTTTAGTCTATTCATAATGCCTGCTTTTACCATTCTTCCATTGTTCGCCAAACAAGAAGCTGCTCCTCACTAACCATCACATGTCCTGAATATAAAACTGAAGAATACATATTTTGAGGTCAAAGCAAATTATCCAGGCAGACAAAAGAAAAACTGATAAAAGCTGGATTCGGGATTTTGACTTATAAGAAGGAAAACTAGTAATCAATAAACCTAAATAATAAACCACACTAATGCTGATTTGCATACTTAAACACTAGAGACAAAGACATCTTTTAATTAATGCACTGAAGTATTGATCCACATCAATTTGGGAAATAAACATCCTACAATGTTTTTATGTTATTATATTTTTATGTTAAACGTTTTAATGTTATTAAGGCTTGAGAGAACTGTCTCATAATGCAGAGATCATGATGTTTGTATGTATGTTTCAGTAATAACAAGTTACTGGTGGCTATGAAAATCCTCATGCTGGGAAATTATCTGTCCACACTTGTAACTGCTGTCTGTGTGCTTTCTGTACAGAAGAAGGCCTGGATTTATATCCTCAAATTCCAAACCCACTAGGTTTGCCATATGGCCAGGCCTCATTCTTTCCATCTCCTACCATGAGTTCTGAAAAATATACCTGCCCCCACTAGATCACTTGACATTTGATAGGGATGAGGGATGTCCATATCTATATATATATCTATATCTATCTATATGTATATGTATATATATATACACACATATATATATGTATATATATATATACTTTATTTCAAACTCAAAGAAGTGGTGTCAACTAACATCCTGTAGATAGTCACTTTATAGAAACATATTTACAACAACTTGAGAATGTTACCCCAAAAGCCATAGCATTTCACATTTATTTTACTGTGGCAACACATGGAAAATGCAGGTGATACAAACAAAAGTGAGACATTGCTCCAAAATGAAATGTACTCTTTACCTGACTTATGTAACCATAACCCCTTTGTACATCACCTTTCTACTAAAAATAAAGAAAGAAAAAAATTAAAGAATAAAAGTGAGGGCTGGGAAGGTGACTCAGTGGTAGAGTGCTTGCCTTGCATGCCTCAGGCCTTGGGTTCGATTCCTCAGCACCACATAAGCAAAAAGAAAAAAGCCGGTAGTGGCACTGTAGCTCAAGTGGTAGAGTGAAGCTGAAGAGCTGAGGGACAGCGCCCAGGCCCAGAGTTCAGGCCCCATGACCGGACCCCCACCCAAAAAAAAAGAATAAAAGTGAATGCTTTAATTGAGATACTTTTTGGACATTTGAAAAATGTGAACAATGTGTTAATAATTACTTGGCAATTTTTTGGCTGTTACATATAGCATATTAAAAAGAATAGGACAATTAAACAAATCAGCCAAATGACAAAAGTATTTGCAGTGCTCAGGGGTTTTGGGCTATTGATATTTTTTAATAGCTCATTCCTATAATCTAATGTAAGGAAAATCAGTGCTCTACTGGGTTTAGTGTATTTGTGTAACATTGATTCCATCTATTTAAAATCTAGACAAAAGAGGAATCTGTGGAGTCATTACCATTAAATTCAGGAAGTCCCAGTGTAAGAGAAACTATACATATTTTCACTGGGAATAAAAAGAGTAAAGATAAAAGCAACTGCTATAGGGGACAATAATATTTAGAAATGTTGATTCTGATTGAAGGGACACGATGTACATGAGAAAGGATGAGACATGGAGACGGAAAGGACTGGAAATACTCTCTGTGCTTTTCTGCAACTAAAAGGGCGTGTTAATTAAGGTGGGCGGGCATGCAAATATTTATACATTTGATGAGACAAGCTGACAAGGAAGACGTGTCTGCTGACCTAGAAAGCCCATAAATACAACAGTAATGGAAATTGTCAGTCACCAAACCCGTCAGCTGTAATATCGACCTAATTACCAGACATAGAAAGTAAACAGGCCCAAAGCAATCAGCAAAAGTAACAAAAGTCATTATTTTTTGAAATTAGAAAATTAATCTCAGATGGATTTGTTTCATGTTTACTGTAAAACTTAATTCATGGGAAAGTATCTGATTTCAAGCTTGTTTTTATACTAGTTTTAACACTAATGTCAGGTTTTTTTTTTAAATTTTTATAAAATGTACCGTCCTTAGCCTGGCACTGGTAGCTGATGCCTGTAATCTTTGCTACTTAGGAAGGTGGGATCTGAGGGGCCAGATTTGAATCCAGAAGGGGCAGAAAAGTCTATGACCATGTTATCCCCAACTAATCATCCAAAAGCCTGAAATGGAGATGTGGTTCAAGTGCAGAGTGCTCATCTTGAGCAAAAACAATCAGGGATAGTGCCCAGGCCATGAATTCAAGCCCCAGTACTGGGACACACAGACACACAGACACAGACACACAGACACAGACACAGACACACACACACACACACACACACACACACACACACACACACACAGGATTCTTTCAATTGCGCGAAACTTTCTGGTGATCTCAGCTGAATTCCCTCCTGCTACTCCTTGCAGGGTATGCAGGGAGAAGAATGTTCTGGGTGACAGCGTCTCAACAGGAAGCTTTATCCCATAAACTGTGACATAGCAGTCCTCATTTATGCATTCACGACTGCCCCATGAGTGAACTCTGCACAAGACAGAATCTAGAGTGACACGAAAATCTAGTCACGTATGGGATGTAGACACACCTAAACAGCAGGGTTGTCATTTGGAGGCAGGGAGGATTTTTTCTGTTTCTGCTCCACCAGGTGCACAGAACACGAAGCACATCAGGGATTATCATGGGCACAACCAAGGCGACAGTTGAATGCGGTGTCGTTCCCAACCCCACCCCCAGCCTCATTCTTCCTGTGGTTGATCATAACTATGACTTTTTATTATTATTGTTACATGTTGGTTGCCGATAGATAAGCCGGGGCTGCTTTCCTATGGGAAAACATTTCATGTCCTGTTTCCTTGGTTCTTCAAAGAAATGGCTTCTTTAAAGCACGTCATGCTTGATGGGAAAGGAAGGCAGGCAGATAGGGTAAGGGATGAGTGTGTGTGTGTGTGTGTGTGTGTGTGTGTATAGGGTAAGGAATGAGTGTGTGTGTGTGTGTGTGTTTTGGAAAACCCAAATTTATGTATTCCTCAAAGCATGCTGCTAAGGGACATTATTTTCTTATCCCATTAGGGTTCAGAGTGTGCTGCAACAAATACCTTGACTTGTACAATCCCCTGCTTTTGAAACTGAAGTTGGATAGGAAAGAGGGAGATGAGCTTCCATGTGAGACTTCAACCCCAGAAGCAGCTTTCTTCATTGCTGCATCTCTTAGCAATTTATTCTCTTATCTGCCACACCATTGAAAGAAAAAAAGAATTTGAAGTTTCTTGTGCGTGTTTTTTTTTTAAACTTTGTCCAGACTGAAAATACACATTTTTTTTTT